GTGGAGCTTCTCATCCACCAACACCCCCAAGTCCTTCTCCTCAGGGCTGCTCTCAATCCATTCTCTACCCAGCCTGTATTTGCGCATGGGATTGCGCTGGCCCACGTGCAGGACCTTGCATTTGGTCTTTTTGAACTTCCTGACATGGGCCCACCTCTCCAGGTCCCTCTGGATGGCACCCTTTCTCTCCAACGTGTCAGCCGCTCCACACAGCGTGGTGTCATTGGCAAACTTGCTGGGGGTGCACTCAATCCCACTGTCCGTGTCACCAACAAATATGTTAAATAGTACCAGTCCAAGCACCGACCCGTGAAGAACACCACTCGTGACTGGTCATCATTTGGACATTGAGCAGTTGACAGCAGCTCTTTAAATGTGACTGTCCAGCCAGTTCCTTACCCACCAAGTAGTCCATAGATCAAATCCGTGTCTCTCCAGTTTAGAGGCAAGGATGTCTGGTGGGACGGTGTCCAATGCTTTGCACAAGTTCAGGTAGATGACAACTGTTGCTCTCTAATCATTGAACGTAAGTTTGAGCCACTAGTTTGCCTAAAGTACAAGTCAATTCACCGTTATTTTGTTTTAACTTTGTATAAATAGAGGAAGCTGTATTGTCTGCAATAGTCAAACTGAACAAAGAAATCAACTAGGAAGTCTCAAACTTAATCCAAATTCACTGCCTCATTACTGATGTATATGTGATGTAAAAATATCCCTTCATCCCACTGGTACAGTACCAAATATAATAGATTCCTGTTATTGGGAAACCCTGTGGAGTTTTTAATCTCTGCTATGACTCAGTTGCATAATGCATACTATGTGAATATATTCGCTTGCATACTTTGATTTGTTGGTCTTTTATATGGTTCTGTGAATCTGTCGTATGTCAAGTATACCATTTCCGTTTTTGTTACCAATGCTTGAATAGCAAGCAACATCAGAAATGCGTTTGTAAACTGTCATTAATAATCTGAATAAAACACATAGTAAAAATAGCATTAAAGATTTTTTTTCTTTACAAGAGAAAGTGGAATAGTTTAACTTAGTACAGAAGAATAAGTGATGGGATGTGACTTATTTGATACTATAATAGGTGATCCTCTTCCAAAGACACAGAAATACCCACTAAATATCATTATTCTTGGTGTGTGTTTGGGCTGTCATTGTGACTTACAATGAATCTGTCATTTGCATGTTGACATATAGGCTTCCTTTTAAAGGTGCAGAGTTTCACATTGTAAATTATCAGAATTGATTGTGACATGTTACCGGGCCTGACTGCTTCCAAAAGTACCTAAGGACTTGCATATCATCTTTTCCTTTCTCATCTGCATAGTCTCTGCACAATTCAAAGAATGTATACTTGTACAGTAACAACTGTTATTATTGCTAAGTATGAGGTTAGCAATCTAGGAAGAAATCTTTATCATGAATTTAAACAAACTTTCTTATAGAAGTATTTTTTTTTTTAAGGTGAGGTTACAGTGCAAACTGGAGACCTGTTGCCATGTAGGATTTGTGGAAGAACTTTCTTTCCAGCAGCATTGGTAAGTAGTATGAGCACTGTTGGCTTTTTGCTCTGATAAGTTGATAAGAGAGTTAAGCAATGGTCACTATAGCTAAATAAAGTAGATCTCGGTGCTTGGATTTGGTGGGTTTTTTATGTTTTGTTTTTTTTTCCCCCAAATAATTATTGATTCCAGTTGTCTCAGTTTTGAAGCTCCTTAGAAGGAGGTTAATTTTATTTCAGCATCCCATCACTTACTGAAAAATATACGCTTCTAAAAGCATGTTCTTTAGGGTTACAGAACCGTTTCTTGCCCTGTCCTTAAATGTGAATATGGGTTTCAGACACCTCTGATTTGTCTTGCCACTCAATGCAAATGCTGCCTACTTACAGTCAATTTTTTATTTGCGAGGAGCAAATACAAATTTTTCTTCTTTATCACTGAAGTTTTTGTGACCATGTGTATGCATTTGTGAATTCTTGTAGTTCTGTTTTAAAAGTAATGGTTGGCTTAAATGTTTGAGTGATCAGTCTGATCTTACTCATCAAGAGTTGGGCCTTGTTTGCTGATTGGCATACTGAGAAAGAGGGAAATAACATGTTAATAGCTTATGTTTTCAAAACTAACTTCTATAGTCTCCTTTTGTTTTTCTTCTGCTTGTAGAAAAAGCATGGACCCATTTGCCAAAAAACTTCTGCCAAGAAAAGGAAGACATTTGATTCCAGCCGACAGAGAGCAGAAGGAACTGACATTCCCACCGTAAAACCTCTAAAGCCACGGGTATATTATAATTTACTTTGCATATGAACATTTTAGGCAAACTATGTGTGCATTATAATAAGGCTTATTTCTGCTGGCAATCTGTGATAATTAGATCAACTAGGATCTGGAAGAAGTCTAACTGTGGTGTTCTGTACTAAAATAAGGCACATACTTAGCTTGAAGTAAGAGCTTCAGACATACAAAGCTCTTTCTTTTTTGGTTTCTTAGCCAGAACCACCAAAAAAACCTTCCAACTGGAGAAGAAAGCATGAGGAGTTTATAGCAACTATACGAGCAGCCAAAGGACTTAATCTTAAAGACGGTGGAAAACTCCCTCCACCACCTCCGCCATCGTATGACCCTGGTATGTAAAACAAACTTTTTTTTTTGTTTTTAGCTTAATTTGTAAAAATTTGAATTGAAAGGAATTTGTTGGAATACATTGTTCACAAGTTCTTGAAGATGACTATTCGATTATCCCTATGCAGATGCCAGTTTGTGAGAATGGGTCTGGCTGGTTAGCGTCCTCTGTAGCTTTTGAACCCCATGACTGTTTTTAATGCATTGAAAGGTACTTGTGGCCAACTTGCAGCTTGCTACTGCTTTATAAACCATAGGCTGGACAAACAGTTTCAACACCTTGTTTCTGTCCACAGTAGTGGAACTGCTCAGAAAGAGCAGACTACCTTTTTAATTAGCTGCCGATGCTGGACACCCACAACCTATTTATATTGTAGGAAGGCACATCGACCATGTTCTTCAAATGTAGCCTGTCTCATTTCTTGCTGAATTCACATGTATTTTCATGTGTGCAGTGTATGCTCTAGTGTGGATGTGATCCTTCCTCATGTGGTGGGGGTACTTGTGTTTTGGGTACGTGAGGTGTGGAATTTGTATTAACAAGGCAATGACAGTCCTTGGGTGCCTTCAGAACTGAGGCTGGGTAAAGTGTTGAAGCAGTCTGATATTAGTGAGCAGGAAATACACTTTTCAGTTAACTTAAGTGATGTGATAATAGGTTGGAGAATTTATTTCTTCCTCTTGGCCTAAAAGCTAAACCATTTGATCAGCTCAATGGCTATTTTCAGAAAGATTGGGAAAACCAGAAAAAATCATCTGCTTCTGCCTGTCTGTGGTCAAGTGAGGACGTGAGTGTTCCCTGCCTTGTTTCTGTGCCGGAAATGTGTTAGTCCAATATTAGGACTGTAATTTTAAGAAGTGAAGTGGAAAGGGACCTGGGAGTCCTGGTGGACAACAGGATGACCGTGAGCCAGCAATGTGCCCTGGCAGCCAAGAAGGTGAATGGCATCCTGGGGTGCATCAAGAAGAGTGTGGCCAACAGGTCGAGGGAGGCCATCCTACCCCTCTACTCTGCCCTGGTGAGGCCGCATCTGGAGTACTGCATCCAGTTCTGGGCTCCCCAGTTCAAGAAGGACAGGGATCTGCTGGAGAGGGTCCAGCAAA